AAGGAAGCGAAGAGGGAAAAGGAAATGCAAGGAAGAGATAAGAACAAAAAAAAAAAAAAAAGAGCATCGGAAGAAAATGGAAGAAGAAGAGAGATGGAAGAAACAGTGATGGAAGGATGGAGGACCTCCTCCTTTACACGATGAAATTGGTCTTTTCAACTCTTTTGATTGATACCATGTGAGGATCAAAGTTCATCAAACTATTGTTTCCCTGTTTGTCTGTTTCCCCCCCCCCCGCATTACTGCTTACGTTGTTAACTCTAAGGTAAACAGTGCTAAACACTGACTCTAGTTCCTGGTGTGTGTAGTAGTACTGTGTTAGTGTGTTATTGTGTTATGTTAGTGTGTTAGTGTGTTAGTGTGTTAGTGTGTTAGTGTGTACATTTGACCTAACACCGTAGTAACACAGGTTTGTTATGTTGTGTCACTGCTTACTTTGCTAGCTCAAAGCTACGTAGTACACACCTAGGCTACCAGAGTGGCCCGAATCCGGTCTAAGTGGGACAGGTGGGGAATCTGCAACTGTACGACATTCAGGCCATTGGCTGCCGACAGATCTGGGCCGTAGTACCCAGGAGACCAGAGGCTGGTCAACGTGAGTCAACGCTATAAGTTCACCCAGCCCCTGCTTGGAGGGCATTCTGCCTTGTGCATTCTGCTTGACGCTGGCTTGATGCAAGTGCGGTGACGCGAGACTGCCGGAGCTTTATGCTGGCGCCATTCTGTGTGTGCAGGCACCAGCCTTGTGGCCCTTTTGTGGGTGATTATGCTGATGTGGCCATAGCTGCATTGACTGCAACGTTGACGGCAGTGAGGGTGAGGAGGAGGAGGATCTGGACTGTGAGATTGGTTGGGCGATGAGGAGAGGCTTACCTGGACGTACCTGTGTCGGCGCGTCTGCTTTGATGCTCGTCTCCAAGAGGAAGATCTGCACCAACCTCTGTCGTTGCTGCTGACGTGGCTGGAGGATGGGCGCCTTGTTGTGACCTGTTCGTCGTATGTGTCAGAGATCGTCAGGGGAGAACTGAACTGCTGACATGGCGAGTGTGTGGGAACGCCCGAGGAGGAAGTGGGCAAGGAGGGTTTTCTGCTTCGTCGATTCTGGTGAAAACTCTCCTCTTCCTCCTCCGTGTCTTTTCGCCCACCTTCCTCATTCTCTTCTTGGAGCTCGGGACATTGAGAGACTATCATGTATGACGAGCATGATTCCGTGAACAATTTTTGGAGACATTGATGTCGCGCTGAGACAGACTTGTATCACGACATTTGTGAGCTTCTCGTCAGACTGGGTTCATTGCAATATCTTGTAATATGACCTGCAAAATCACAGACTGAGAACTGTGCTGATTTCTGAGGTTTTCCCGCTGGAATGTGTGTCGGCTGAGAATTCCCGCTTTTTGCTCAGATTTCGAAGTCTGTGTGTCAGCGTGTATGCTGGTTTCTGAGTGTCTGTCTGAGTGCACGCCTGCCTGAGTGTGTGTGTGGCCTGCCAGGGCACTTGTGTGTTTGAGAGGCCCGCGCGGCCGATACTTACCTGTGGCCATGACTTTGAGGGTTGCAGCAGGGAAACACTCAACTGGTCGGAGGGGTAGCTTACGGCCACTCAAGTAGCGGGGGTAGGCTCGGCCGGTAGCGCTCGAGTAGCGGTAGGCCTTGCAGAAGAAGACAAGAAGTTAGGATGTCTAGAGGCCGAGGAACTGGTAGGCCTAGGTAGGCGGGTACCAGTCCAAGTAGCCTGAGTCTAGGGCCTGTGCGGATGATATCAGAGCCTGCAATGATGTTTCCCTCTGAAAGGGAAGAGGTACCGGTTGCTGGGAGGCCGCGCGGCCTAGGAAGTCACTGGCCAAGAGGGAAGTTGCCTCAGGAGGCCGAGCTAGAGGCTCAGCCCCATTTGCGCAATTTTGCCGTGTGCATGTTTGGGCGTCATGCTGCTTGAGCAGGCGCTGGTTCTCAGAGCGCCGGGGGGAGGAGGAAGGAGGAGCTGGGCGCTCAGCTTCGCTATGGCGAGCTGCCCAGCCTGAGGAGGAGGAGGAAGAAGGGGGCGAAGGAGGAGAGTGGCGAGGTACTTACCTGGCTATGGCGGTCGGCATCTTCATCTTCTTGGTTGGCGCTGCCGCTGGAAAAAAGGTGCGCTGCTACAAGAAGAGTCCAGGGCAGAGTCAGTCAGGCATGGCGGCCTGAGGTGTAGCGGACATAGCTACGTTTGCATTGTCTTTTGAACATCGGGGGTTGGTCACTGATGTCTGCCATAGTCAGTACCTGTCAGAGGAGGAGGAAGATGGAGGTCATGGCTATGGTGGACCTCATATTGTGCTGGCAGTAGGAGAGGGATTCAGACATTGGTTCTGGTTCAGCCTTTCATGGTTATTATTATTATTATTATTATTATTATTATTATTATTATTATTATTATTATTGAATAAGAGAGGGGGAGATAAGGCGGAGGAGATTGCTTGGCTGAGAGAAGGGGGATTTGTCATTGGTCTTTTGCTGGTCTTCTTCTTCTTCTTCTTCTTCTTCTTCTTCTTCTTCTTCTTCCTTTCTCTCTCTCTCTCCTCTCAAGTTCATTCATTTCTTTTTGCAATTGGATGACATTGTAAAACCTTGTGTGTATTTGGACTTCGGCATTAGTCAGAATCATAACAATCTCTACATAGGGCAGACACTACCTTCCAACGTCTTTCTAGGCGACTATACTAACCGCCTGACAGAAGATGTTTCACACATATTCTCTTCTCTGAACATCCTACACAGACATATGCTGGTTTCCTGTGGATTATGGCCATTGCATTTCAGTAAGGCAAGCTGAAACCTACAAAATGTACCGAATTTTAAACACAAGACAAAGGGCCAAGGCCCAAAGGGACTTGAGTACGTTCCCGCGTAGAGTGAAATTTTATACGAGCTTACACAACCCAACTCATGTCTTTAAAGTTTAAACCATTTACAGATTCAAACGGACTCTATCTTAGTCTGATTCAGGCTCGAAGAAAAGAAACGAAAAGAAACGAAACGAAAGGAAAAGAAAGAATGAGTGCCATACGTAATCGCTGCGCCGTCAGACCAAGATGATGGTGCTTACTGTTGCTCACTGATCTGCTAATGAATCAAATCAATGTGGAAAAGAAGTTGCGCTCATCTGCCTTCTGGTTTGTCAACTTTTGTGTGAATAAGGCAGCCGTCATGCACGGTTGTTTGTAGGCAAGCCCACTGGTTGTTAAGTACCGCGTTCTCTGATGGAGACTCTAATCATTTTTAGTATGTGTACCCAGCAGGCTCGCTGGGGGCGCACGGGAAGCGTCTCTATCGATCCTTAAGACGCCATACGCCAGATGCATGGAAACTACCAATTGTGTACGCTAAAGTCCTACAGCAATCACTTAGTGGGAAGGGAAGAGATCGAGCCATTACAACCAGGACGTGGGCTTGGAAGCAGCCATCCTCTGTGGAAAGCGTAATAGCTGACTAGTCTAGCTTCATCGTGCCGAAAATGGATCGGGCCTCACTGAATCGACGAGACCAAACAAAATCAATGTTGCAAACGCCACGCCTCTCCACGGACAGAGTGCATCAAGACATGCTGGACACGAAGTGCTACAAAACAAAAGACACCAGTAACTGCTTGCTGGTTGAGTGTTCAGGATGCATGCACACTGTGCACCATGAGAGAGAGAGAGAGAGAGAGAGAGAGAGAGAGAGAGAGAGAGAGAGAGAGAGAGAGAGAGAGAGAGAGAGAGAGAGAGAGAGAGAGAGA